TTTTTTAAATCGTGACGAATAAAATAGAAAAGAATCAGAGCGTAACAACAGATAATAGTTGGGTTCTGTCATTAAGGAATATATCTTTGATCTATTGTTAAAAACACACTAGCTATGATTGTTAATCTATGTTTAGAAAGATGGCAAAATGCATTGTTTCAATACCGAAGGAAAATAAAAAAAAAAACAAGATCTTCTTCATCAAAGTCTTCTTTGATGTAGTCCATGTTCACCATTGAAGCAATTAAGAGATTCTAACTTGTCTCACTTGTCAGCATGAAGTCGGAATATGGTGTTTGCCAAGCTTTCTTTGGATATCGTTCGGTGCGAAAGGGGATACCACTTAGATTGTTACTTTTAGACAACCATATATATATATATATATATTTTTTTTTCTTTTCCTTGACAAAACACAGCAGTTAAAATATGTCTAGATATATTTACTCCCATTTCCAAGCAAGAATGCTTGTAAAAATATTTTACTTTTTTTTTTTTCAAGATTACACCCCGTTAATCTTCGCTATTGTCTTGCTATTTTAATTTTTAAAAAGAGAGCGAAAAATTTATCTTTGCTGAAAATTGGAACCCCAAAATGTTTTTTTCTGTTAAAGTCATTAACCTATAAAATTTTTCGTCCTATTTTCCATCCGGTTATAAAGCCTGTAATAAGAGACTTTAACCGAATTCACCTGGCTACCAGCGACTCATCTAAATTAGTTATTTACTTTCAAGGTCAATGAAGGTTAAAGATTTTGTTGCCAAAATCTCTTTGTCATCGTTGTCTGGCATTATATCCATCAGAAAACGTATTCAATTTAGCATTTTGGAAGTTCGACAAATTCTGTAAAAAGCAAATCTGACTTTTTAAGATAAACAATTTTCTATTTTCACCTTTTACATATGTTTATTCAAGCAGGAGTGAATCAATCTTTCATAGAATAAACAACTGCAGAAAATGGATATAAAATATCAATAACGTCATAAACTTTAAAAAATATTTATAGTTTCTGGTTTAAGTGGGTTAAATACCGATAGAATGTATCGGTATTTTCGGTTTGTTACGAAAAATCCACGGATTTGTACAGGTGCAACATTGAATGGCTTCATGCATTAATGAGCACTTTTTGTTGATTTCCTGATTGGAAATGACGTTACGCTTTTTTTAGTTGATTTTCCGATTAGAAATTATTTGTGTAGATGCTTATACATGTCCATAATTCTAAAAAAAAAACGAAAAAAATAAGATGTATCGTCGAACGATCGCGTTTATGTCATCGCGTTGCGGTCCTTCTTTCCCTTTCAAAGGAGATCGTTTCACTTTCCGTTGGCCTTTAGAGCAAGTAAGTGAATAGAATGAAAATGATTCACGTAAAAGTAACAAATTACATCAGATTATTTTAACGACTTAAAAAGTAATTCCTATTCTTGGCTTTCGCAACGTCATTATTCTGGAAACTCCATAAAGCTGTGTAATAAGCTTAAAAGTAAAGCTGGATTATTTTGGAAAGATTTCAAACTGTTTAACGAAGATTTTTTTTGTTATTTTTGGAGTTTTATGCAACGTTGGCTGTGAATAACTTTGCTTGTTTTTAAAACAACCGGAAAGTGGGTATCCCTTTTCTGGATGGAAATACCTTTGAAATTGCCAGACTACCGCGAGTTATTTCTCAGTACAAAAAAAAGTAAAATATGTTCCAGATATTTAAACTTATTCTGTTCCAAAACCGAAGAGATTAGTTACACTTCCGAACCAAAAATAAGAGTTCCCAATGAAAATGAAAAAAAAAAAACTGAGAATGTTTGTTTTAATTTATGTGCAGATGTTTTAAAAATTTTCTTAGCTGCACCCTGTATGTTATACTTAAGTTATAAAGATTTTAAACTAGGATTGTCCTATTGGAGATATTACATTTTAAAATAATTCAATGGAAGATTTTTAATGAAGACTTTCTTTTAAAACTTTAAATTAAAAGTAAATTATTAAAAATTTTATCTGTGTACTTTTTCCTTAAGAAAAATGTCCAAATAAAATAAGATTTATGGATTGCAGTTCAAATACAATATTTATCAATAAAAAAAATCAATAAAATTAAACTCAGAATTTGTTAAAATTTGAATACAATATTTAAAATATGATATGTATTTTAAAAATTTTAAAAAAAATCAAAAAATTTACTGTTTTGTCTTTCAAGTAGAATTTCTTTTGGCATGGATTGATTCTCTTTTTTATTAAAAAAAAAAACAAAAAAAATCTACTTAAGTGTAAAACATTTTGTGTCTTTGTTAAAGTGTTATTTGCCAGATAAAGATTTGAGTGCCAGAATAAAATTGGTGTTGCTTTGAATAATTACCTTGTCTCTGGTTTATACATTTTATACATCGTAAACTTGATGTGCCAGTAAATATTGTTCAAAGTAAAATAAAAAGAAATTATTTAAACTTTCATATGTAGTTAAAATAATTTTAGTGATTATGAAACATATTTATAACTTTTTGCTAATATATAACAGCAGGATTCTTTTTAGAGTATAGAATAGCATTCTATAATATTCTGAATGCTTCTGATGATGGATATTAATACAAAAGTTCTAGAATTTCTTGTTTTTTTTTATACTTTATTAAAACACATATATGATAGATTTTACAAATTTAAAAACAGAAAAATATACTTATAATGCAAATTGCAAAAATGCAAAAATACAGTTGTTAAGACTAATTATTTAATTTTTAAAATTAAAAAATAAATAAATGATATAATGTAGAAAAATTAACAAATGAATAAATAATACAAAAATTAGATGTTAATGTCTACCAATATTTTCCATATATATTGATAAAAATAATTTATGTTTTCAATAAAAGGTGAACATGATTATATCTATTTTTATACTCTCTTCATTATTTAAATTCATTAAATTCAGTTAAAATTACAATTTACAATTTCAAATAAATAGCAAAATGAAATAAAATTTAACTTTAGTACAACTAAAATCAAAACATTTGTTGAGATAAATACTGTACAACATTTCATATCCTGTTTATTAAAATGTTTATTTTTTATTACTAGATACTAACAAACATTTCAAGGAGATTGTAAAAAAAAATAAACTAAGAATTCAAATTGCATCAGAAGAGCTTACATATTTGAAAATTTTAACTATACTTATGAAATGAAAAGCAACATAAATAAATGCACAAATTTAGAAAGACATTTTTTCCCTCAATTATTTAAAGATTATTCAGAAGGAGTATTTAAAGTTATTTAATTATTATATTTTAGTCAAATTTTATGTAGTGTTTAATTTTTTAGATTTTAACATAGCAAATTATTGGTCTAACATGTAAATAAGAGCAGGAGAAGTTCACTAAAGCCGAATGCTCATTATTTGCAAAAGTATATTTTTAAAAGAATTAAGTTTGAAAAATCTGCTTCCAATGTTAAAATAAATCAATTTTAATATCAGAAGAATATTTTGTATGCATTTAATGACTGTCCAAATTAAAAAAAATTTTTTTAATCCACAAAACACCTTTAGTAATAAAAAAATTTTTTTTTTCATAGATAGTATCATAATTTAAATTAGAAATATCTAGATTATATATTTATAATTATATTATATTAGAAAAGTTAAATATAATAATTTATTGAATTCATAATTGTTTCTTATTGTTACTCTGATGGTGCATTATATCATAACAGTTTTTATATGTGTGATAAACAAAGTATACATCTCAATGCAAAAGATTAATAATGCAATTAAAATATTAACTTGAATACTATACTGTAAATAATCAAACATATTACATCTCACTCAATATATGCCATATTTCTTTATTGTTGCTACTACTTTATTAATTTATTTACTGTACTTGAATTCTTATATTTGAAACAACTGTTTGGTAGAAAATTCTGTGCAGATACATGTGAAAAAATAAACTTTTTTCCTAAGTAGCAAATATTCAATGTGTTTCTGGTTTCTACAAGATTACTTTGTCCATCAAATTCATAATTATTAAATGAGTTTGTTATATTGAAGAAACACTAGAGATGAGGCATATGATATACAGTTTAAATAGGATATGAATTATGATGGTATGGTTGATAAAATTTTTTTACTAAGAAAAAGTAGCTTTGGTTATTTTCAAACTTTTGCTAACAAGTAAGTTTATTTACAGAATTATATCTCTTTTTATAAATATCTTAACTACTACTTCTTCACTCCATTTATCCTGTTTGATAAATGGAGTAAAGACGTCCTGACTAGGGGGTTTCTGTGCACCTGTTATTTGTAACATAGAATAGTCTGTTTATGACTGAATACTGTTTTTGATGCCAATTTTCCCTCTTTATCCAGACTTAGGACTAGTCAGAACTGTTGGAATTCTTGGTGTGATTAATGATAGTATCCAGTCTTTCTTGATGTTTCTAGCCTGAGTATTAGCTGGTCCAATGCTACTTTATGTATTAGCTGGTCCAATGTTACTAAAGTAGCATTAGACCAGCTAATACTCAGGCTAGAAACAGTATGTATTACTTTTTTAAATTCAGTGATCTGATAAACCTTGTGTTCAGCAAGACTTGCTTTGCTCTTTTTTTATGAATTGCTTAGCAAGAATTAAATATTGAGAAAAATTAAGTTGATAAAATTTGTATTTTAATAAACATTTCAGATTAAAATGTAATTTTTTTAATATTAGAATTAAAATTATTATTTCTAAGTACATGAATATTTAGACAAGTTATTTATTAGACTTTGCTTCATTTAATTGTTCATTATTTACTATTAATATGAATATTTATATCATATTTTATAAATCTAAATCTTTTTTATTTTTAATAAAAAAGAATATATCTTAATATTTATATCATGAATAATAATAATAATGTATACTTAATTTAAGATATATATTATATTAGTGTTCTGTTAATGTTAATATATAAATATATAATTAGTGTTTATGTGAATAGTATGTTTTAAAGCATTTTTTTAATATTTCAGGCTGTCACTGAAGAGGTCCATAAGAAAACAACAGTTAAACAGACCACAACTACAAAAACAGAATATCGCTGTGTTCAGTTACAGAATATCCCTATCCCATCTGTCAAAGGAAAGGTTACAGGTTAGCATCATTTTATAACATATTTAAGTCTTAATATAGAACTTCAGTTTCACTCCAGAATTAAATTCTCTAACATCAGGTTGATTATAAATCATTCAGGATGTTTATATTTTAAAATTTTAATTTACAGTTAAATTAATATTTAAAAAAACTTCATAAATAACTATTTATACAATATATGAATCATGATTTTTTTCTATTATTTTTAATTAGCTGAAGTCATCATGCCATCTGGAAAACAAGATAAGCCTGTTGTTGTTGATAATAAAGATGGTACGGTTAGTGTGAAGTATGATCCAAAAGAAGAAGGTCTTCATGAATTGCATGTTAAATATAATAATGAACATATTCAGGGTAAATAATTGCCATTCATTTTTCAATAAAAGTAAATTTGCTACTTTTTTAAAATACCTTAATTTTCAAATTTCAGGTAGTCCATTTAAATTCCATGTTGATACTATAACTAGTGGTTATGTAACTGCTTATGGTCCTGGTTTAACACATGGTATTGCTGGTGAATCATGCAATTTTACCATCTACACAAAGGAAGCTGGTGCAGGTAATGATTAATTTACTTAAATATTAATGTCAGATCCACATTATATTTATATGCATATATACAAACAATATTTAAAATATCAAATTATTAAGTAACTATCAATTTATATTAAACACGTTAGAAAAGTAAAGGAAATATCTTATTGAAGAAATCAGAACTGTATTTTTGATATGTAGATCTCAGCAGTTTAAATGGCTTTTATTACATACATATAACTATAACATTTAGAAATACTAAAGCATTTACGTCGATTTAAAGTAATGTTTTCCAACTATTTTTAGTTGATAATTTATTACTTTATCAGGAAATCATGACATTATCCAGGAACAGATTTTACATCCTCCAGAGAATCAAAATCTATTGGTTGAAAAACACTGACTAAGACTACAAAATATTTATAGAACCAGAATTAATGTATTTTTTGAAAGTACTGAAGTCATTTTTAAATTTGTTATATAACATAAGGAAGGTTGTTTGAATTTTTCCATTATTCATTTGAAGTAAAAATTTTAGTATAAAAATATTTTCTATCAAGATATTTAGAAATATGTATTACTTTTTACATTAAATAATTTTAAATCTTATTTTTATTTTTGAATATTATTATTTTGAACTCCAATAAGAATTATTTACTTGTGATTTGTTGTTTAATTCATCTAGAAATAGCCTTAGACTAATTGCCAAATTTTTCCCACATTTGAATGGAGGTGTATAGTTGAGTCAGTTGTTATGGAATCAACTACACAAGCCTTCATTTTAAATAAAAGATAAATTTAACTCAAACGATCATTTAAATGAATGCTATTTTTAAAATTTTACAGTAATCAACCCGAATTTTTTATTTTATGAAATTTTAAAGGGCAAAATATTAATTAAAATGGCAAAAATGGAATATTTATATAATAGTTATCCATGTTAATATAAGTTAGTGGAATATATTTAACCAAATTGTCAGCAGTTTTAGATTTCAATATTGTATTTTAAAAGATATCAATATTTGTGCTTACCGTGTTCATACAATGGTGGATCTATACAATGGTTAATATGGCTTGAGCCTAGGATCCCAAGACATAATACAAAGTGTATACTTGTGTTATGCAAACAATACAATACAAATGTAAGAATTTCTTGTTAAAATGTAAAAAATAATTCTAATGTTGTTATTGGCTATATTATACCTACTTAATTATTTTACTTAGTTAACTTTTGCTTAATGCTTGTAATACTTAATAGCATTAATAAAATTTTAACAGTTAATAATGATTAATAAAATGTTTCTTTCTATATAATACGTCTCTGTAATCCAAAAAAATATGGTAGACGGACTCACAGCCAATTTTCAGTTAGGAACTACACTTTTATTTTAAAAAATGACAAATGCGTTTCAGGTTGGTACAAACATCCAACCCCTCTTCAGTGCTAATTTTTTAAAAAACAATAAAAAACAAAAATAGTTAGTACATGACATCAAATACACAACAAAAAATTTTCTTGCGTACTTACTCTTAAAAATAAAAATTGTGTATGGTCCACCAACACATCTATAACACCCACACCTGTTTTTCATCTATACATCTTAGAATTATCGTACAAGCTTAAAGAGCACTTGAAGTGTTTAATACTTCCGCATAACATCACTTCTAAAAACAAATTATTTTATGACTATTTTGTAGAATTAATAAAGGTGTACAAAAACAATATATTACTGTTATTAATATATTACTTACTTTTTATTTTTAAGAGTAAGTACGTAAGAAAATTTTTTGTTGTGTATTTGATGTCATGTACTATTTTTGTTTTTTATTGTTTTTTAAAAAATTAGCACTGAGGAGGGGTTGGATGTTTGTACTAACCTGAAATGCATTTGTCATTTTTTAAAATAAAAGTGTAGTTCCTAACTGAAAATTGGCTGTGAGTCCGTCTACCATATTTTTTTGGATTACAGAGACTTATTATATAGAAAGATCTAACATACAGCAATCCAGTTATATAGTAATAAAATCTTGCTTCATTGTAAAATAAATTTTTTAAAAACGTATTTAAAAATTTTTAAAAAGTGTCTAAAGAAATTTCAAGTCCAACCAGAAAGTTAGATCTGCTCCTTTCTATACAGACTTTTTTTTTTTTTATTAAATTATACATTTAATTAAAAGAATTTACTGATTGACTTTAGTAGTTTTTAAACAGTATTTATTATATAAATTGTTTAATTTATTCATAAAAATATATTTCTAAAACTTTGGCAAATTTTATGCAATTAGAAATTTGTTTAATAATGTAATTTTAAAACTGATAATTATTAAGTGCTTTGAGTAATAATTTAAATAAGAAAATATATCTTATATATTTGTTAAAATATATCTGTTGAGTTTTATTTTTGAAAGAGAGAATTAAATTTATAAAATATGGAAATATGCTAAAATTAGAATATTGACCAATTGCATCATCAATCTTAGATTACAACTCTTAACGACTAAATAATCATTAATCTTTATTATTTGTTTATTAAATGAACAGAAAATGGATTGTCTTAACTACACTGAATTGAAAATACAGTTGAAAGTATTGTGTGCAGCTGGCAGCATGATTCAAATGCACATGTCCAAAGAATGACCTGTTTAATAATGTATTTATGTGACAGGTTAAATTATCAACATACTACATTGAAATTAAAAATAATGGTGTGGACACAAGTTTTTGCTGGATATAGTGCATGTAATTAAGTTTAAATACAAAAATAATTATGAAGTTTTTTTGCCAATAATAGAGGTGGTTCTTGGCTTTCAGAAAGTTACTCTTTTGTACATAACATTTTAATATTTCTAATTTGCTTTTTATACATTTTCAGTGGCATTTAATTTATATTTTTCACCTTTCATAAATCAAATCATTTGTTTTTTTTAAATAAATTTTTGTAAACTTAAGAAAAATCATTGTTAAATAAGAAGTGGTAATACACAATTATTATTTAATGTCTGCTTATTAATAACAATTGTTTATCTGCAGAGTATTAAATTGCACTAACATCATAAATAATTTGTGAAAATTAATTTTTTTCTGTTTTTCTGTAATCTGTTATTTTATTGTTTTAAGTGTTTCATTCATTGTAACATATTCATTGCAAACAATCAAAACTTCACTATCCAATAAGAGATTTTATAATTTTTCTTTTTAGTTCTTTGAGAATGGAATTCTCTTTATAATATGCAAAATTATCTTCACTTTCAGACATTGACTCTCAGACAATGCTTTCCTAAAAATATGCTTTAAATATTTCCCTGCTGGAAAATTTCTTGAAATATTAATATTGTCTTCTTGATTTCAATTTTATTTATTTTTTTAATGATTCATTATTTTTTGTAGGTGGTCTTTCAGTTGCAGTTGAAGGACCTTCTAAGGCAGAAATAAGTTGTAATGATAATAAGGATGGAACAGTTGGAGTTTCATATCTTCCAGTAGCTCCTGGAGAATATAAAATTATGGTGAAATTTGCAGATAAACATATTAAAGGAAGTCCTTTCACAGCTAAGATTACAGGTTTGTTTTATTTGTAGTTCATAAAATATTTACTTTTATTAAAAAATAGTGTTAAAAATTTAGATTTATGATAAAAGTTCAATAAAATATTTTATTGAAACTTTGTACAAGCTGTAAGAAACTTTGAAGTATTATTTATTAATGTTTTGTTTACTGTCTAATTGAGAAAATGGTTTAAAAAATAATTTTTTTTATCCTAAATCTGTAACTATTTTGCACTTAATTAAATGATTTATTGATTCATTAAGAGTAGTTGTCTTTTTTCAGCTCTAATAAATTTATTGAGTATTTTTGTAAATATGAACAATTTGAATTTCTTGCAGTGATTATATTTACATTATTTTTATTAACTAGGTGAAGGACGTAAACGTAATCAAATTTCTGTGGGTCACTCTAGTGAGGTTTCATTAAAGGTCCAAGAAAAAGATATTAAAAATTTGAATGCCAGTATTGTTGCTCCATCTGGTTTAGAAGAACCATGTTATCTTAAAAAACTTCCTAATGGCCACTTAGGTAAATCATAGATAGATTTATTTATTTATTTATTTATTTAAAGTAGTTTTTGAAAAATAAGTGCATTATAAATCTATATTAAAACTAAATAAAGTTTTGTAAAATAAAATTTATATTTTATGATATTCATAATTTGTAATTAACACTTCATGCTAAAAGAATAAAAATTAGGATGAGAGTTTTGTTGATAATCATAGTGTAGCATTATTTAAGCTGACTATAGTTTCTTGTTGCTCCCCATTCCATTTTGATATCAACTGATACATATAGGCCCTCTCTTATTAAAATTTCTCAAGAAAAATATAGATGAGTCCTATTAACAATTTGTTAGTACATTATTAGTGATAAAGAAGATTAAAGAAGCTATAGTTCCTAGAAAACAAATACTAATTCTGTTAAATTATTAAAACTTTAGAATTCAAGATTCTTTTCATTTATTTTGTTAAATATTTTGACACATCTGTCAGATGCATTGGGTTTTTTCTTTATTCCATTTCTTCAAGTGTTTGGTTATTATTGTGTCAATTGATCAAATAATTAACTTTCATCTGTTTCTGTTTGTGTAATATGCTCCTTAGATTCACTGAAATTATTCTGTACTTCTTGCCATCCAAATATCATCTTCAGCAGTATTCATTCAAATTTATAACCTTTATCAATGCAGAATAAACATTTTCTGACAAATCATCAGTTTGTAATACAATGTAATGTATCAAATATACAAACTAGAGTTTTTTTTCCTCTTTTCTCTCTCTCTCTCTCTCTCAAAAATGGACAAATAAAAATTTTTATTAAAATGGTGCCAGGACAGAGCAAAAAAATCATTGTACTATTCCTTTTAAAATAGTATAGTCATCCTAGCAGTATTTCATTGAAAAAAAAAGTATTTTGTAATTACAATGAAATAATGCTAGGCTGACTACACCATTTTGAAGGAACAGGAACAGGGCTTCTAGGCTGATCAATGAATCTTTAAAAGTAACATTGTTTTTTAAATTTTTATGAGAAGCAATATTATATAGTAATTGAAGATTGATTTATTAAATGCTCATTTTGAATATGCATATAAGGATTAATACTTTAAACATTAAATTGAAGTCTACCTATTATTAAAATAACTGGAATTTTTCCCTATTAATATAGTAAGATGATGATAAACATTTACAGTTCTGATTTTGATAAAAAATAATTTTGATTTTTTTAAGTTTTTTGAATATACATTTATGACAGTTTTTTTTTTTTTTTACTATATGTTTGGATATTATTTTCCTTCTACTTGTAGAGTTGGATATATACCTGTAGTTTTATTATTCCATTTCAAAAATACATTAGTTTTTATAGGAAGAGCATGAAAATGATCTATACAGTTAATTACAACATTTCATTCAATTTTATATAATAAATTTTTAAACTATTTAACTGTAAATGTACAGATTTTATATAAAATAATAGTAATTGATATTTATTACAGTTGTTACAATAAAAATTGACATTTTTCTATCAAGTACTCTCTAATGCAAATTTTGTATTGTAATTTTGCCATTGGCTAATATATGATGCTAAAAAGGAAGTTTTTACACAGATGAATCATCAATGTATTCTTATAATTATTATATTCTAATAAATATGTTAAATATTATAAAAAATTCTTTACTTAGGAATTTCATTTACACCTCGAGAAGTAGGAGAACATTTGGTAAATGTTAAAAGAGTAGGAAAACATATTCAAGGTAGCCCATTTAATATTAATGTCCTGGAAAGAGAAGTAGGAGATGCAACTAAAGTGAAAGTATCTGGAAATGCTTTAAAGGAAGGCAAAACTCACACAGAAAATGAATTCAAAATTGATACAAAAGAAGCAGGTATGTAGATGAATATTTTATTATACTATTCTCTCTTTCTGATATACATATATAATTTGTTATCAATATTTTTATTTTTAGGTTTTGGTGGATTGAGTTTATCCATTGAGGGACCTAGCAAAGCAGATATTAAATGCAAAGATAATGAAGATGGAACGTTAGCTGTTACATACAAACCTACAGAGCCTGGTTATTACATTATCAATCTTAAATTTGCTGATCATCATATTCCAGGTTAGAATATCTAGATTTATTTTAGAAAATATTTATAATTAAAGCCTTTTTAGGATAAATTCTAAATGCAAATTTTTGTTACAGGAAGTCCTTACACAGTTAAAGTATCTGGAGAAGGTAGTAACATTCAAAGAGAAAATATTAAGAAACAAAGAGAAGCTCTTCCAGTTACAGAAGTTGGTTCACAGTGTAAACTTACATATAAATTACCAGGTAATAACTATAATAAATTCTGATAAATCGGATATTAAAAATATAAATTTTATCAGATTTTCATAATCTCTACAATTTTTAATTAAATAAAATAAGTTCAGCAAAATGCTGAATTGGAACTGATCTATCTCTTGTCACATATGCATGTACCAGTCTGTAAAATATTGTATTGTTTGCAATCATATTTATAATAAAACCAAAATTTTTAGGAACAAATGCATTTGAGATGGCAGCAAAAGTAACATCTCCAAATGGAGAGACTGAAGATGCAGAAATAATGGATTTAGAAGATTGCTTATATGCTGTTAACTTTGTACCAAAAGAAGTTGGTGTACATATTGTTAGTGTTCGCTATAAGGATATCCACATACCTGGTTCACCTTTTCAATTTACTGTCGGTCCTCTTAGTGATTCTGGTGCCCACAGAGTTCATGCTGGTGGACCAGGATTAGAACGTGGTTGTGCTAATGAGCCATGTGAGTAGTTTGAATTTTAATTTTTGAAATAATGAATGAAATTCATTTTACTTAAAAAAGTTATTTATTTGTAAATAGGTGAGTTTAATGTATGGACACGTGAAGCTGGTGCTGGAAGTCTTGCCATCTCTGTGGAAGGACCATCAAAAGCTGAAATTGATTTCAAAGATCGTAAAGATGGTTCTTGTTATGTTTCATATGTTGTGTCAGAACCTGGTAATATACTCATATAAATATTTTATAAACAATAATGAACTGTACTATTATAAATTTCAAAATGTTAATTAATATTCTTATTTGTTTAGGTGAATACCGTGTTGGTATTAAGTTCAATGATCGTCATATTCCTGACAGTCCTTGCAAAGTTTATATCATGCCTCAAGTGGGTGATGTTAATAAAATCATGTTAGGTCAGGTACCAGATGATTTACAAATAAATAAGCCCGTTGCTTTCTATATTCAAATGAATGGTGCTAAAGGAAGTTTGGATGGTAAAGTTCTTGCACCATCTGGAGTAGAAGATGACTGTTTCATTATTCCAATTGATGAAGGTAATTTTAAATTATAATATATCTTTAAATTTGTTTCAAATGTAAGCATTTCTGTAACTATTTTCTGTATAGATCTTTATAAATATTCTATTTTCATCTTTGTCTTTTATCAGTTAATAATGGAATTTATTTATCTTTATCAGATCAGTGGGCTTTAAGATTTGTTCCCCAAGAAAATGGCATTCACCAAATTCATATTCGCTGTAATGGAATTCACATTCCTGAAAGTCCTTTCCGTGCCCGTGTTGGAAAAGATGATGCTGATCCTGCTGCTGTCAATGCTACTGGAAATGGTTTAAAAGAAGCAAAAACTGGTAATTTTTTGTTTCAAATATTAAAACTGAAATAATAATTATTTTAACACAAACGTCTTCTAATAATTATTTTATATTTAAAATATTTTTAACAAAAATATTTTCTATTTTAAGGTGCCAAAAGTGATTTTATCATTGACACATGTAGTGCTGGAGCTGGCACATTAGCTGTAACAGTAGATGGTCCATCAAAAGTAGCAATGGATTGTACAGAAGTTGAAGAAGGTTATAAAGTCCGGTATACTCCACTTGCTCCAGGAGATTATTATGTCACTATAAAATATAATGGTTACCATATTGTTGGAAGTCCTTTCAAAGTGAAATGTACAGGTAATTAGTATTGTTGAATTTTTATATTTACATTGTTTAGATCAGAGGTCCTGAAACTTTTTAACTGTTAACCCTTTCAAGGATTCATCATTCTTTTATCAACCCCCTTTTTTTGTTTTTTGCTGATACAGTTGATGATAAATAAATTTTGGTTGCCAGTATTAATCCATACACTGTTTTTCTGAAACGATCTACCATATTTAGTGTGCAAATTTACAAAATCCAGAACTGTCTTATGCCCTAACCCATTGGAATAATAATTTTTAATTAACTACAGTCAAACCTTAGTTTTTGAATGAATTATTTTTCGATCAAATCAGTTTACGAACAGAATTTTGAACTCATACTTGTCCCAGTTGCTATATGATACTCAGTTACTGAAGAGCTGACCACAGATTAGAGAGAGACAGTCAACTCTCTATACTTCCTGTGTTAAAGAAAGTTAACAACCCAAACAATCAGAGACAGGACTACTGATTCAGAAGTTAGTGGCTCTGAGATTGCCCACATCAAGACACAAATCATTGATGACAGTGCTATTTAAATTAGATTTCAGTGTGCATACAGGAAAGATATTTCTTCCATTTTTTTTGGTACACACCACAGTTGAATTTAAATCAAATTAAAAAAACCCATGTTAATTGACATTCACATAATATAAATGGCATCCAAGAATTCATCTTTTAAGATGCTTAAGTCAAATTAAATAGAAAAAATTTACTGTATATAATGCAGTATTATAATTATTATATTACATTGCATTTCTAGGCATTTTTTATATTACATTGCATTTCATTATTATATTACATTGCATTTCTAGGCATTATATTATATTACATTGCATTTCTAGGCATTTTTTGCATGAAATACAGCTAAAAAAATAAAAAAGGTGTTATTTTGGGGTCAGGAACAGATTAATCCATTTTATATTGATTTTTATGAGAAAATTTGTTTTGGTTTTAGAACAACTTTTAGGAATGAATTATGTTAAAAAACTGAGGTTTGACTGTATTTTCAATCAACCCCAAAAATACCTTATCACCCTGGGGGTCAATATTGACAACTTTGAAAACCCCTGGTTTAGATGTTAAATTAATAAGCATTGATCTCAATGGAACTTGCGGGATTTTGTCTTTTCTGGCAAAAACATAATAAATGAATTGGTTCATAAAAGTCATGTATATAATAACAAGTTTGTTTCTACTTATGATTCATTACAGTGAAGATAGTATAAACTTGTATTTAAAAAAAAGCAAAACTTCTAACTACCCAAAACACCAAAATTCCACAGGAGCTGGAACATTAAATAATAATTTTAAAAATGGCTCAAACTCTACTTTCATCTGATAGCTTCTAAAAGAGATAAGAGATATACTTGAAGAGTGCCATTTAAGAGGCTGAAGAAGCTATTAGCTGGAAGTGGATAGTGTTCGACGGGTTTTTAAAGTAATTATCCTAAAACACAACTAAAAGATAATGTAGCTCTTGCATCTTAAGTAGAACTATCTATTTTATTGCATATGGACTGTAGTTTTATTGTAATGATTAAAATAATCTTATATGATAAAAAACATAAAGTTCTCTCTCATCAGACCAAGTTTAATGCAAGACTGATCACTTGGAAGACAATTCATAAAAATCAGTCTTCTTGATCAGATCAGATCAATCAGTCTTGAATTAAAATCAGTCTGATAAGCGCTATGCCTTCATTTGTTTTTTTCTCTTATAAGATTATTTTAATCATTACAATAAAATAGTTAATACCGATTCAGCCAACACGTGTGGACAAAACAGTTGGGTTTATGTGATATACATTAATGAACTGTAGTTATTTCAATGTAATGAGACTATGAAAATAAATTTACTAGTGTAAAGTAAAACTTTATTTTACAAAATTATGATTCAAGAATGTAAAGAAGAATAAAACAGATCTCAGGAGGGACATATGTCTTTTCTGACCCTTCCCTGTGAATATCCTTGATTGATCTTTAATAATCTTGAAATTTTTTAAATATTCCTTGAAAGTTTAGTTACTATATTCCAAATTACCATATATTACATGCATATCTAAAAAAGTAAAAATGAAAACAACATTAAAGTATTTTAAAATATAATTAAACCTTTAAGAAACATATAGTCAACATTAATGATTGAAGAATATTCTAAAATAAATGGTTATGATCTTTCATATAAAATATAAATAAGAATCTATCAGCATTTTGAGTCTTCTAAAGTTTTAACTTTATAAGTAAAACATATTTTAAAAAGTCTTTTGGAAGTTAAATAATTTGTGTAATGTAGCAATATACATATAACAGGGTCATAAGTCTGGTTAATCCAGCCGTGAATTTAATCACTTTTTGCTGCCAACATTATAAATACAGTTGTAATTTCAAATTACTTACTAGTATGTAACTCTATCAGACCAATCCAATAGACTTTTCCACAGGGGAATAGTGTCGTTTGTTAGATATTACTTCCCCCTCATCTGCATCACATATACTGTATCTCTGAGATTTAGAAATTAGAAAATTTTTGAAGTATCTAGATAAGCATTGAAAGTGAAATCTTCATAAAGAAACTACTTGTAGGAGACCATGGCTGTAATCATGACAACTGCTTTCAAATTTTAGGCTAGACTATTTTTTTCCTACAGTTCTATAATGTGGAATGGTTTTATGACTGTTCTTTTTTCTTTATCAACTATTTCACCTTTTTTTCTAATGAATTTGAAATGAGCTATGGATAAAGTTGGCCAAGATATGAAGCTAACTGTGCTAATTCCTTGTATCATGATGTAAGAAGAAAGTGACATTTTTAGCACTGTACTTTAATTGTATAACCACTGCTCTCAATTATCAATTCTTATACGAAATAAAACTATTTTTTTATGTCTACTACATTTTTTAGTAAAACTTTTTAGGATTGTTTTTATTTTTAGAATATAGATGATTTGATTGGTAAAATTTAGTTTGACTTTATAAATTTATAAAATTCTCCTTTAAATGTTCAGATGATTTTGTTGATTTAAAAGGGAAAAGTTGGAATAATCCTGTTATAAGCTTAAAGCTCAATTGATAAACTGATTGTTTGATTGTGAGAACTTTTTGTTTAAAATAATTACACATTAAAGTCTTAACTGTTATGAAACCACATCAAATTAATGCTAAGTTAAATTATCATTTTTATAATAATATGCATATAAAAAATAATCGAATGTAACTTTTTGAAACTTATTTATATTTGTTGTTTACAGGAAATGCTGTTGCAGAAGTAGGTTCTAAAGAAACATCTACAGTAGTTGTAGAAACTGTTACCAAACATGCTAAACAAAGAGCAGATGTATTGCCACGATTTAAATCTGATGCTTCTAAGATTACCAGCAAAGGAATGGGTCTGAAAAGGGCTTTCCTTCATAAACAAAATCAGTTTCAAATTAATGCCGGTAGTGCAGGTAAATAGTTATAATATGAAAACATTAAACTAACCATTTTTTAAATAATATATCATCATTTTTCAAAAATTTTCACTTAATCATTTTCTTTCAGGCAACAATGTTTTATACTGTGCCGTTTACGGTCCTAAAGGTCCTAGTGACGAAGTATTTGTAAAACATTTGGGTTGCAATATGTATCAAGTTTCTTATACAGTTAAAGAACGTGGTGATCATGTAGTCATTATTAAATGGGGCGATGAAAATATCCCAGGAAGTCCTTTCAGAGTGGAAGTATGAGCAATGAAGACTCGATAGAAGCTTTGCTCTTTTCATACTGCCTTTATATGTTTGTTCAATGACTGCAATTTAAAAAATCAAAAAAAAAATAAAATTAAAACCCTTTGTTTCTTTTTATTATATGTATGAAAGTGGGGGAAAATTATTATTTAAAATTATAAAATGTGATAATTTTTTTGCAGTCACTTGTACAGATTTGTGTGTATGAGATAAGTCCTTCCCCATCAGGTGATATTAATTCAAGTGCTTCTGTGTAGTTGGTATATAAAATAACACCTTTACAGTTGTTTATTCCAAGATATGTGGCATTTCTTTACTGATGTGTAATTCTTTCAACAGAGAATTTTTATTGTTGAAGATGTTGCTAAATTTCTTAAGCTAGATTTATTTTAGTGCCATAATTATTTAAATGCTTTTTTATTATGAAAAATTCCAGATATAATGTATAGTTTATTACCATAATTACAGTATTTGCTATGTTAACAGTCATGGTGCAAGCAAAGATACTTAAATTTGTTTTGAAAATTTATAAATTAAACTTCCCAATTTTATAGAAAATGGGGTAGGGCTATTGTTGAATTCATTTTTTGACTAATAAATGCAAAAAATACTGTACATCATTTATTTCCAGATTTATCCTTTAGTTTTACAATATTATATGCAAAATTAAATTTATATTAGAATTTTGTATTGAAGTCAGGAAAATACATATACAATCACTTTACTGTTCAACAACAGTAAAGACCTTAAGACCTTAAATTTAGAATAATTCACCACTGGATAGATAGATGAATAGAGAATTGCATATTTGCTAGTGTAAGCAGTCTTGCTAGCAGCAATGCAACATGTTGGATTATTGGATTGTAGATTATTGGACTGTAGTTTGAAAAAATTGTAGACCTATAAATTTCACTGTCATCTGTCAGTTGTCTGCGTGTCCTTCCTTAATCTCGACAATGGAATTAGTTGAAATCGGGACCAGATATGGAAAGCTTAGCTGCATGAGGCCCCGATTAACTATATTTCAATTCAATTCAAAAATTTTTCCCTGAAAGGAGTTAGATGCAGCATGACTCGATTGCTAGCAGGGGAAGTGTGATACACAGGGGCAAGACACTACTAATTTGAGTTGGAGAGATATATTTTAAATTAAAAAAATTAAAAATATGATTAAAAATTGCAGTCTGACATTGTGAAGATGTCACAATAAATAATTTCTCATTTTTAATTTTTCTTTTATTGTGAGCAAGATTCCGAAATAGAAATCATCAAAAGATTGCATTAATGACAGGTATGTCAAAATCAGTTATAATTATTAAAAGAAACATTTGTTTATGCTCTCTAACTCAAATTAGTAGTGTCTTGCCCCTGTACATACTTTCCCTGCTATCAGTCGAGTTGTGCCTGTCATTAACTCCTTTCAGGTTAAAATTTTTGAATTGAAATAACGTGACTTCTGGTGCAAATCGGAATAGTTAATCGGGGCCCCCTACCCCTAAACTTTCTATATCTGGTCTCGACTTTCATCTATCTAACGCCGTTCTCGAGATTAAGGACTGACGACAGTGGAAATTTATAGGTCCAACAAGAAATGACCGTGTACAGTACTTTCAAGTTTCTTATTTAATAAATCTTATACATTTTCAGTACATTAATATGTAATATGTAAACAAAAACTTGCATATAAATTACAAAATAAATTCTGATATACCTTGGGGATTCCCAACTAGTTGCTACCAATCTCCAGAAGGTTAATTAATTTATCCATAGAATTCATAAAGTACAGTATTGTGTTATTTGGGAGGTTAGTGGACAAATTTATTTTTATATTTAAAAATATGATATATAGGAATTATTGATACAGTTTTATCATCATCATCACCATGGCTCTTCAATATATAGCCCAAAGGCCACAATCTGGACTTCAAAGCTGTTTGATCAGGCCAAGTTAGAGAAATGTCTTATTTTCAACAAAAATATGAATATAAATAATTAAAATTATATTTTGAAAAAGCAAACTATTAATATTTGTCAGATAAAGAAGTAAAATTATATATGATATATACGGTAACTATAAAAATCCGTTTGGACAGATACTTTTACGTTCAAAAAAGAGAACTTCTGGAGAAAAGAGGACGTATGGTAGCCCTAGCAAGCAAAAAACATTCAAACAAAAATGTACGAGTTTAAATAATATCCACATTTTAAAACAAATTACACATAAATGTTAAATTCAACGTAAACGAAAGCACCTAAATGATCAGATTGATCAAATAATAACAGTAAATGATCAGTTTAAATTTATAATTGGCGATAACCAGCTTATAATAAAACCTCTCTAAGAAGTAAGACGTACCCTTCTACAGTACAAACGAAACTGACGGAAAATAAATCAAAAACCGGAATGATTCTCTACATAAAATACTGTATACCGCGTTAGGTAGGTATACAGTATTTTAGGCAGACTTAGAACAGTCAGTTAACGGAAACGTCTTAACGCGTTTGTCTAACCTGTATAATCGGAAACGAACTACTGTTTTGGAATTTATTCATTGTATAACTTGTATAAAGCAGAAATTCCCAACTTAACAGCAGCTAAATTCTAAATCATAATGTAACTTTTCTGCTAGGATCATGTTTGATTTCTCAATGATCGGAATTGCGATATCACTTTTTTAATCATACTCGTGGGTTTGCAGCCCCATGGAGAGACAGCGCGAGCCTCGATAAAACTTCCAGGCTCCTTTGCTCCTCTCCTAATCATTTCCCCACCTTATCCGACAATGACCCGACCTGATCAACCCACCAATTTTTTTATTTGGAGAGATTATTTTCTGTTCTTTGCAAGGACAAGGATATGTCCTTGCAAAGAAACGGACTATCAAGCTCCTATAAGTGTCTGGGTCCTATTGCGACGGCAATTACTTCTCCCCTCTCATTAGGGCTGTGGTTTTCCAAGCTCCAATGGGACAAAATGTAGTGGACGAGTAAACGTTTTTTTTTACTATGACATGCCGGATCTTTATGCTATCTAAGTAGGTGAAGTTTATTTACGACACGATACCAATACGGGATTTTATCGCGTTTTTATTCTCGAATATGACGAAAGGAAGTAGCTTTCGGGCAAAAGTTTTATTTTTTATTTAAAATTACTAATACTTTAGTTTGAGTTATGGCAACGCAACACTTGGGCGATCTGCCTAGGGCAGGGGTCGACAACCTTTTGAGTCGGAAGAGCCAAAAACTACAATTTACAAAATTTCAAAGTTTTTAAAGAGCCACAAAATTTTTTCTTGCCAACAATAAATAGTACTTGCATAAATAAAGTTTTTTGATTTAAAAAAAACTAATCTATTTATTCAGAATTGTCTTGCGTCGAAAGCGAATTAAACCTCATAGAAACATCCGACGACGGCGTCATTCGAGAGCTTCCGACGGACTGACGACAGTGACGACGCGTGTCACGGGGGAGGGATGCGATGAAAAGCGAGTACAAGTGGCTGAGATAGAATCGATGCCGAATCCTCGTTAATCGATTCAGAACGATTTTTAAATGTTTTTTTTTTTTAATAAAATAAATAATATTTGCGTATGGAACTAAAGAGCCGCAGCTTCACATCCAAAGAGCCGCATGTGGCTCGAGAGCCGCAGGTTGCCGACCCCTGGCCTAGGGGATGCCTTCTGGGAGGTCTTTTTAAGGAAAACTGGCCCCTATTTAGGCGTTACAGACGTGGAGAAAACCCGAAAAACTCTACGTGGCCAGCCCGTCCGGGCGAGGCGCGAACCCAGTTTTCAGGGTACGAAGACCGCTTGGCCACTGGTGGGCACAAAATTACTAATACAGTAGAACCTCGAAAACTCGGCTCTCGATAACCCGGCACTCCGGATAACTCGGCCCCACCCTGACAGGGCAAAAAAATCCTTAGTTAATTAATTTTCATTATAGACAGCTTTATAAAAGTATAAAAGCTCTCATAAAGTATTTTTCTGAGGTCTGTCTTATCAGGTAAATTACTGTACACAGTGTATTCATTAATTTTCATTTTCATGTAGTAAAGGCTCTATGCCTTCATAAAGGACGTACTTTTCGTTTGTTTAAGGGTATTTGGGCAGTTTATTCTCTGTTATATTCTCAAGTAAACAATACGTACAAGTACAGTACAGTATTTTCTGAGGAAACACTCGTACTTATTTTTTTTAACCCCATTCTCGATAACCCGGCATTTTCACAAACTCGGCCACCCTTCGGTCCACATTAGGCCGAGTTTTCGAGGTTCTACTGTACTATACAATTAACTTTATAAATACATTACAAATAAGTAAACAAATATTTTTATATACTGTATTATTACTTTAATCATATATGTAGTTAATTAGCCTAAATCATCAAAGCATTCTGTTTTTATTAGTAACAGTATAAAGTTTTTAGTAATAAAACATACCGAGATCAAAAGGATATGCAGATAAAGTATAAAAATTTATTAAATAAAAAAAACAAATTTTGTATAACAGCTCCATATATTGCATAAATAATCAAAATTACAAATTTAAAAGATAAATATTTGCATCTTTTATCACTAGAATTGGAAATAAAAAATATGAAACAAAAGATATATAAAAAGAAAATACAAAATAAATGGGGGTTCATCTACAAAAATAATATATCAGAATTTTCTTAACACTACATTAATGTGATGCTGACAGAATGACAAAATTCACTTAATATAGAATAATGGCTAATTTTGTAGTCTACTCGTGGATTTCCTTACATATGAATTTGTCATATTTTAAATTTATTTTGCTTTTTATAAGACTTTAATATATCAAATAATATCTTAACATAGTAAATATTTTTAATATGCAAGATATAAGGCTTTTTAATATTTCATGAATATGGTAAATATTTTATTAATGTCATTCCTAACTTATTTAATGTTATTTTTAATTTCAAGCAGCAAAAGAAAAAGTAACAATTTGCTATCATTTCGAAATAATTTGATGCCAAATCAAACGAGAAACTTTAATAAAGAACCAAAAGTATTTGCAGAAACAATTTATTTGTTGCAATGATTCTAATCACATCTTTATATGAAGATAATTTGATGTATAATAAACATAATAAATATGGGATTTAATCGATCCTAAGCCAATGATGTCCAGAGAATATCTCCTTGCAAGACTTAAATTGATTCAAGTTTTGCCTTACTCTTCAGCTGCATTATGCCTGGTTTTAGTTCAGTGTAGTTTGAGTGAATCCCTTTTTGTTCATTGAGAATTTCTGTAAATCATTTTCCTGGAAGACACTGGCTAGACAAAAGACCAGAGTTCTTTTATTAGCCGTTTTTTATACCCCAAACCACCAGATAATAGTGTTACCAATGCATGCAAACCTTGAAGCAAAAATTTTGCCAATACATAAATATAAGGAATGGATACAGAATAAAAACTGGTACTCGTTCGTTTTTTTTAACGTGCCTGGGTTTCACCGGCAATTTACGGTCCCCAGATATGGCACCAAATTTTAATTTCGATATTCTTACTACAGTAATGAGTTAATAAAGATTGGTTTGGAGCTACCTGTTGATGAGGACCGCGAGAAATTGCTCTTTTTGCCCATAGG